CATCCACCCCCCCCCCAGGCCTTCCCCATACCAATGTCTGTGACCATGGATTATGCTTATAAACACACAAGTTCTTTGATTAATCTCTCCCCACCCACTCTCCCATCTCCACCTTCCCTCTGAGATCCCTCAGTCTGATTAAAGCTTCTATGTCTCTGAATCTGTTTTGTGCATCAGTTTATTAGGTTTATTACATTCCACATATGAGATCATGTGGTACTTGTCTTTTTCTGACTGGCTTATTTTGCTTAGCATAATACTCTCCAGTTCCCTCCATGATGTCCCAAAGGATAAGAGATCCATCTTTACAGCTACATAATAATTAATCCATGATGTAAATGGACCACAGCTTTTTTTATCCACTCATCTACTGATGGGCACTTGGGCTGTTTCCAGATCTTAGCTATTGTAAACTGTGATGCTAGGAACATAGGGGTGCATAAGTTCTTTCTGATTAGTGTTTTGGGTTTCTTAGGGTATATTCCCAGAAGTGAGATCACCGGGTTAAATGGCAGTTCAATTTTTAATTTGAGGAAACTCCATACTGCTTTCCACAATGACTGCACCAGTCTGCATTCCCATCAGGAATGTAGTAAGTTTGAGCATTTTTTCACGTCTCTTGGCTATCTGTATGTCCTCTATGGAGAAGTCTCTATTTAGGTCCCTTGCCCATTTTTTAATTGGATTTTCTTCCTTTTGTTAAGTTGTATGAGTTCCTTATAAATTTTGGATATTAACCCTTTATCAGATGTGCCTTTGGCAAATATGTTCCCCCATAGAGTGGGCTCTGTTTTCATTTTGTTCATGGCTTCTTTTGTTGTGCAGAAGCTTTTTATTTTTATGTAGTCCAATTTATTTTCTCCTTTGTTTCTCTTGCCCTAGGAGATGAATTGGCAAATATGTTGCTACAAGAGATGTCTGAGGTTTTGCTGCCTATGTTTTCCAATACTTATCTATTGTCATTTTAATTATTTATGCCTGTTTATCTCTCTATTTCTACTTCTAATTACAGTAGTTCCTTTACCATTTCCTGCAGTGCTAGTTTGGTGGTGATAAATTCCTTTTGCCTTTTTTGGTTCTCGGAAGCTCTTTATTTCACCATCTGTTTTGAATGAAGCCTTGCGCTGGAAAGAGTATTCTTGGTTTCAGATCCCTGTTTTCAGTTACTTTGAACACTGCATGCCATTCCTTTCTGGCCTGTACAGTTTCTGATGAGAAGTCAACTGACAGCCTTACTGGAGCTCCTTTGTAGGTAACAGATTGCTTTTCTCTTGCTGCCTTTAAGATTCTCCCTTTGTCTTGGATTCCTGGCATTTTAATTATGATGTGTCTGGGCGTGGGCCTCTGGATTCTTCTTGCGTGGGACTCTCTGTGCCTCCTGAACTTGTGTGATTTTTTCCTTCACCAGGTTAGGGAAGTTTTCTGCCATTATTTCTTCAAACAGGTTCTCTAACTCTTGCTTACTTTCAACCTCTTCTGGTACGCCTGTAAAGCGAATACTGTTACATTTCATGTTGTCCCACAGCTCCCTTAGACTGTGGTCCTGTTTTCTAATTGTTTTTTCTTTTTGGATCTCTGACTGAATGATTTTTTTCTACCTTGTCTTCTAATTCACTGATCTGATCTTCAACTTCCTCTAATCTGCTGTTTATTCCTTCCAATATATTCTTTATTTCTGCTTTGTCATTCTTGATTTCCTTCATAGTTTCCATATCCTTTTTCATGCTGTGGGAGGTTCTCACTGAGGACTCTGAGGCCTAAACCCCAGGCTGATCTCCCCAGCCAAGAGCACCAGAACTGAGAAAGGTGCCCACATAACAACTGACTGTGAAAAGCAGAAGGATTTTTTGAGCATTCTTACAGTCAGAATTCTGAACTCTATATCCACTAGATTACTTATCTCCATTTCATTTAGCTCTTTTTCTTGAGACTTCTCTTGTTCTTTCATTTGGGGCTTATTTTTTGTCTCCCCATTTTGGCTGCCTGTTTGGGTTTGTTTCTATGTATTAGGTAGATGTGCTAGGATTCTTAGTCTTTTTGGAGGGTCTCTGGTGCAGGCCAATGTCAGACGCTGATTGTAACTGGCCCCAAGTACCCTGTTGGAGCTATCAATAACCCTAGGCTGAGGCCTCCTCTGCTGGGGCTGAGTGCAGTTGGACAGGACCAAGATGCACACCAAAGTCTGCTTTTCCAAGGCCTGGGTCCTAAAGCAGATCAGGCAAAGACTCAAAGCACTCTGAAGCCTGACTCTACTTGTAGGCTGATTAATCTGATTCTCTTAATGAGCCTCAGGCTGTAGAAACTCCTCTGGGTAGGGTGAGAGATTTTCCAGCAAGGTGGTACAATTGCTCACCCCCCGACCCTCCCACAAAAGCAGCAAACTGCTTGAGAAAGATGTCGTCTGCAGTATGGGGAAATAACTTGGCACAGGAATCCAGAGGGGTGCCATTTGAGCTCTATCTCCAGACCCCACAACCCTAGACTCTCCTCACACAGCTCCAGTCCACTCTGCCCTCCCTCCCTCTGCCTGACCCCAAGGTGAGTGGCTGTACGTGAAACTTTGTGCGTTGGCTCTTCAAGAGGGTTCCTGGAGTTCCAGCTGTCTCTC